GTTTTTAACCTTGTAGAAAGTAGAATGGATTTGTCGTCGTGCAAAACTCTAGATACTTTGAATTATTTAAAAATTCGTTCTATTTTTTGAGCATTATTGAATATATTTGAATTTTGCTTGAATAGCTTATATAATAAATCTGCAGCGTACAGATCCGAGCGTAATAATTCGAGAGGGTTTTCCAAGTTGTACAAAAGTTCTACTTGTTGGAGGAGTCAAAGGGTATTTTTGAATAATTTTGAGAAAATTAAAAAAATTTATTTTATTTATAGTTTATTAACGTTTTTTTAATTGAATTTTTTTGGCATTGTAAAAACCCGCAATATTACTTATCAGCTGATTCAGTTTGCATCGGAAACGTTAATCGCTGCCCCAGACATTTTTTGAGTAAAATATATATGAAAAAAACAAAAACAAAACAGAAAAAGGGAACAGTCATTTATAAAAAACACGTTGAGGTTGCACCTTGAATTTTGAGCAGGGTTTTTAATGTCTAATGTGTTTCGACTACGTGCGTTTGTTTGTAATTTTGCATAGAAAATACTCGTGCAATATTTAGTTCTTGTTGCTGTGGTCAGCAGAAGGCAAAAAAATAAATATTAAACATTTGCCAGAGTCGACAGCGACAACGCGTATGCAAATCAAACCCAGCCGTAATGCCGCCTCTTCCACGAGCTGCCATTAGGAAAGGTGCTCAATGGTCAATTGAGTGAGGTGCAAAAAAAAACGAATGCGATCACAGACGACGACGAAGTCGACTTTGACAAGTGGCAAAAGCGGAAAATCTGCTCAAGTTTTGTAGGTCAGAACTGGCAACTGGTTCGGAATTTGGACTAACTAAATAGTTAATAGGGCATTATATTAAATGCAGGTGGAAAGCTTTAAGCCAATGCATCAAATTGAAATGATATTTAACATCTTAGAAGCTTAAAAAATGACTTGAAAGTTGAATGAAGTAACTTTTACACCCTCGTAGAGGGTATTATAACTTTGTCATGAAAGAAGAACCGGCCGATTCGGAGCACTCAGTCAAAAATAAAGTCGAATCTTACCCAAATTCGACATTTATACGTTTTACTGTGCCGCTTACATATATACAAAATCTTATCAACATCGGACTACTATAACATAAAGCTGCCATAGAAAAGATCTGTTCGACCGATCTTTCTGTTTTGATATGGAAACCTTCTTTTTTATAAGATTAGTGTCATTCATTAGTTCCATTATGATCGTCATATTTATGTAAAATGTTGTCACCATCGGACCACTATATGATATAGCTGCCATAGGAACGATCGGTCGAAAAGTTTGTTCCAATATGGAAACCTTTTCTATATTAAGATAACTCGACCAAGCTCGGGATCTATTAGTTCCATTATGATCCTCAACTAAATGCAATATCTTATTAGCATCGAACCACTATATCATATAAAAACTATAGGAAAGATCGGTGGAATAGTCGGATTTTAAATGAGAAAGTATTCTACAAAATGGGAATTGTCTACAAGGGTATTAAGTCTTCGGCTTGAGGAAGATATGCTTACTTTAGCTCTTAACACATTCTAATTGCAGTCTGTGCCTCGTATTTTGTATCTAACTAAGTCTCATTTAAAATCATATCTCATGAATACATGAATTACTTTTGTACCTGAGATCATATTGTTCCAAGCACAATAAAGTTTTAATGCACAATAAAATTTGTCTAATACTACACAAACACAGAAAATTTAAGTGAACAGCGCGATTAGATTAATGCAGAAATAAACCAGCCGGCGATAGGACTAAAGAAAAATATTTGTAAAAAAAAAAACAATGAAAAATAGAAATAATTAATATTTTTTAAATTTTAAAATAAAGCAAATGGATATTAAAATTATTTACTAGCAAAGACTCAGCACTAAGAGAGATTCTTATATAAAATATATACTTATATAAAATATCAAAAACAAGTAAGAGGATACCCTAAACCGACTAGGGGATACCCTGAACCCTCTTCTTCCAACATCAAATGCATATATATATTCTATTTTAGAAGCTATATGTTAAATTTGGTGACTCTAGCTCTTATTATTTACCAAAATTGCCCAAAAAACAGGATATCGATATCGATTTTTATCGATTGCTTGGAAACGGAGCCAGTTATCGATTATCGGAAACAAACTCGATCTGCGCGGGAACTAGGAGCACCTACATCTAAAATTTCTCTAGCTCTTATAGGTTCTGAGATCCTTGCGTTGATACATACATACGGACGGACGGACGGACGGACATGGCTAGATCGACTCGGCTATTGATGCTGATCAAGAATATATATACTTTATGGGGTCGGAGATGCTTCTATCTGCCTGTTACATACATTTGGATTTTGCACAAATACAATATACCCTTTTTACCCATCTTCAATGGGTTCAGGGTATAATAAAAGAAATGGATCTGTGGCAAATTTAATATTAAAATAATTTACTGGCAAAGACTCACCACTGAGCGGAATACATATTTAAAAACCTTTGACACGTTCAATTTATAACTTTCTGATAATTTTTTTTTTCAATATGAAAGCTATTTCTGGTGTACTTCAAAACACATTCAGATAGGTTTCTACAAGCGAACCATACTTTTAGTCAAAACAAAAACCTTGCAAATCACACCAAATATTTGGTTACGTGTGTGCGCGTGTGTGTGTGTGTGTCATTTGCACGCGAATGCCTGCTAGGCATATTTGGAGTCCGTTGACGAAGGTCGCTTCTAGACTTCTAGAACAGATTTCGCTAGTTAGTCGGAGCGTAAAAAACAGAGCGCTTAGATAGCGTGAATGTGCAAAGTTAGTCGGTAAAGCAAAAACTAAGCATGAATGAGCAAAAATTAGTGTTTGCCTGTGTGTGTGTGTGTGTGTGTGTGTGTTTGAGTATCTGTTATCGCTGTGAGAAGTCGTTGCCATTTGAAAACTGGGCAAACTCAAGGGTTTCGCTGCGTGCGCTCGAGTTTAGCGTAGATCAATAAATTAAGGGGAAGCCTAGTTTAAAGACAACCTTGCCAAAAAGAAACCCAATCGCTTTTATTTGGTTCAATGTCAAAGGCAAATATTTTTAACTATTTTTTTTTTTTGTTATTATTATTTTGCTTTGGTCAATGACGCGAAACGTGCAAAGTCTAAGCGTATTCACCAAAATTCGTTTATAAAAAATATAAAAAAAAGTCAAGAAACTGTTGAATATTCAATGATTTTTGTAAGATTCGTTTTTCAATATATCCAATTGGGAAAACTTTGAGAAACTAACTAAGTCAATTGAACAGTTATTACGGTATTGAAAGTCAGCTGTAGCAGCTGATAAGAACGGCAAAAAACAGCTGAGCTGCACAACAACAAAGCGACAAACGGAGTTTAGGTCAATCAAGCAGCAGAGAGTTGCCAGATTGCATCAGAGATAAAAAAAAAAAACAAAAGATTATCAATTCAGTAGTCAGCTTTTTTGAAGGCGCGCCTAAACTCATTTCGAAATAAGAGAACATTTATTGAATTAATTTGCTGATAACGCTGCTAGGCAAAGCTATGGGAGTGCGAGCGAGACGGACTAATCGAATGTAACCTCAAACTTAGCGAGCATGCAACCTGTTTTATAAAAACGAAGCCAGACTCAAAAGAAACAGCAGCAACAGCAACAGCAACAGGTAATGAACTTTACACTTCGCCAGTAACAGTAGCTTGTCTCGCTCGCACACACGTAGGCAGGCACGCAGCCCGTGTGTATACACAAATATGCACACTCACACGCGCCTGTTATGCATGCGTGTGTGTGTTTCATATGTATTGATCTCTCTTGTGTTGTTGCTGTAACCTTGACCATCAAATGCCGCATACGAAAACGAAACGATCAATTGGTTTAAGATATTAAAAAAAAAATGTGTGTGTATGTATCTGAAATGCGTAGAACTTACACTTTGTGCGTTGTTAATTTGAATGTGGCTGCCCGTTCAGTCGTTTGTGCATGCGCCTCTGCGATTTTTTTTTTCACAGATTTTGACTGTTGGTTTCTACTTTTTTATTTCGAGTTTCCTCTTCGTACACGTTTAGCGTTTACGTTGCGCGAGCGCTTAATTTGTTTTATTTAGTTAAAGTGGAAGCCACGACGACGCGGACGACGACGACGACGACGACGACGACGACGACGACTACAGCGACTGCAGCAGCGGCAGTAACAACAACAACAACGGCGAAGCGCACCTATACATACACATGCACATATGTATGCATGTAATTGACTATATGTGTGCGTGTTTGGCTAATCCCTGTGTAACGCGCCTACGTGTTCGACCAGCTGTTGCTCGTAATGAAGGCCCGTATCGGTGTGTGGTTAAAGTTAAACTGATTGTAATGAAATTAATTGCTGAATAGTTGGTGCATAATTCGGTGCAGTAATAGACAAAAAACCACGTCCGATCGGCAGCCTGAACAAAGCGATACTGTTGTTATTGTTACTCAAGTGGTTCTGCTGCCGTTCATCGCTGGATAGTCGTTCAGTGAGCACACTTAACGAAACTTACTCAGCTAAGCTGAGTATGCAGATCGTAAGAGAACGAGCAAAACGCTGATGCTTGTGGAGTAACTATTCTGTTAGAGTAAAGTTAAGGTAACAGGTGTATTGTTAACAGTTTCACCAAAACGCCTATTAAATGAAATTATTCATAAATGTCAATGCATAATTTATGCTGAATACATTAAATCTATTTAGAACTAAAATACATCTGTATTGATTTTCCTTCACTTTATTCACGGCACTAACCATACAATGCATTGCATTGTATTGCTTTATATGGTTGGTGTTCACGGTTAACACGTATAATACTCACGCAAACTTAACAGCAAGCTGTTAAAATCGGGTGTATCGCACATCTCTAACTGCAAGCCATTGTACTCAGTCGCATATTCGATACCACTACCAAACTACTCTTTCGTTTTAGTTTTTCTGTTAACTCTTTTTTTATTTATTTTTTGCAACGACTTTAAATAACTTTTAATTATTTAATTTTAATGCTTAACGTGTACACAACTGTGTTCGATTCAAAGTGCCTTACAAGCTGTACACAAACAGCTTGAAAATATCAACAACCAACAAAATCCAATTGTGTAATTTACATGCAAATGTCGTTGGTACCTGCTGGCCAACAACAGCAACACCTCAGCCAAAGCCCACAGCAGCAGCAACAGCAGCAGCGTGTCTTGCGTATAGTTCCAAACACACAACGGCACGGAAATGCCTTTGAAATTCTTTAAAAAATGTCGACAATATAATGTGACGTCCAAAAATTTATTTGTTATAAATGTGCATCATTTGCTAGGTGAGTGTGTGTGTGTGTGTGTGTGTGTGTGCGTGTGTGGGGGCGTATCAGCAACAACAGCAACAAGAACAAGGGAAAGAAGAAGACTATCAATAACAACGGCACCCCTCACAAGTGTACAAGTTTTCAATTGCACGAGTCTATGAGTCGCCGTTAACAGCAACAAGCAACAAGAAACGCAGCTGCCGTCAGGCTTTTTACACTTGTTGATTTATTTACTCATTTTCGCGTTTTTAATTGGAAACACATAATTGTGTGTGTTATTTTTATAAGGCCAACAACGGCAGATAAGCCGTGCGTTTATCTTGGCAACAGCAACGGCGACGACGTCGACGACGACGGCTTTCGTTATGACCAGTTTTTTGGAATTCGCTTTTTGTCAAAACAAATCAAAGATAGCAACAACAAATACGGCATTTTTTTTCCTATTTGACTTGTTGCGCCACTGTTAGGCAGTTAACAGGCGCCGCCTGTTAACAGTTGACAGCGACATATTTGCCTTGTGCTAAAATGACATGTGCCTAAACGGGCAACTGAAGTAAAACTTCAATTATAATAAATCTGGGTTTATAGCACATGCTAGTCTGTGCCAGTAATTGATTTATATATTTTGATTAATCAATGGAATGAATGCTTGCATCCCCCACTTTAAGCAAGTGTCATATTGTCAACAGGCGCGCACTGTTAATTAACAGTGTGCGCGCTGTAAACAAAAAGATACCCCAACGATTTCCGTTGTGGCTCAATAAAAACGTATAGGGCAATCCAAAAAAAACAAAAACCAAAGAAAAAACGATTAGACAACAAAAAATATCTGTGTGTACATTAGCATATTTGCGCGTGCTGTGTTGCCAAGCGTTGTTGTTGCCGCCGTTATGGTCTCGGGGCTTATCTGCGCACGTTTTATCCATTATATAGTTATGTATGTGTGTCTCTTACTTGCCAGATACCTCGAGCACCGTCGACTGCACCATCAGCTCGGAGAGCAAGGGCCAGGAGTGCCTGGATAATGTGTGCCAGCGTCTGTATATCCAGCAGCCGGAATTCTTTGGACTGCGCTACTTGGTCAAGGACAAGGAGGACGAATACAAATGGCTGGACCTGGAGCGTTCGCTCAGTCGCCAGCTGGTCAAATATGGAGCGGACAACAAGATGTATTTGCGTGTGCGCCATTATGTGACGACGGGTGTGCGGCATCTGAACGACGAGGCGACACGCTTCTATTACTTCCTCCAGCTGAAGAGCGACATCTACGAGGGGCGCATCGCCTGCGATATACGCACGGCCATCCTGCTGGCGCTCTACTGCCGCCAGGCGGAGTATGACAGCTATCAGGGCGACAAGCAGTCCAAGGACTACCTGAAGAAGTCGCTGGTGCTGCCGCGCAATATGCAGGGCCTGGCCAACGACGACAGCATGCTGGACGGCCTGATCATGGAGGTGCTGCAGCAGCATGCGGGCCTGGCGCATCTGAATCAGAGCCAGGCGGAGGAGATGTATATACAATGCTGCCAGCAGCTGGATGGCTATGGCGAGGAGCGCTTCCCGGCCAAGGATACGCTGGGCAATGATCTGCTGCTCGGCTTGGCTATCAATGGCATGGTTGTGAATGCGGACAACGGCAGACAGTATTTCCCCTGGAAGGAGTTCCACACGGTGACCATTGACAAGCGCACCATCAAAATCGAGCAGAACAAGCTCGACGGCGACGGCAGTATTGTGGGCAGCTTCATCTTCAGCGAGGCGGACATTGCACGCTACTTCTGGAAGCTGTGCATCATGCAGCACAAGTTCTTCAAGCGCTACATAGACACGGACACGCCCTCCAGCTTGGGCAGCAGCGTTGGCGCCGACATGGAGAGCAGCAATGGGCACACACTGGGTGGCGATAGTGTGGGCTATGTGGAGTACGATTACGTGGCGGCCGCGGAGCAGCAACAGTTGCAGCAGCAGCAGCAGCAACAATTGCAACAACAACAGCAGCAGCAACAGTTGCAGCAGCATCAGCAACAACAACAACAGCAGCAGCAACAGCAGCTGCTCTCGTCCAATATTTCGCTGGCGGCCAGTCACAGCCAGCTGCTGGGCCAGAGCAGTAGCTGTTTGGATTTGAGCAACAACAATTTGCACAGCAGCAACAGCATGTTGCATCACAACAACAACAACAACGGCAACGGCAGCAACAACAACAACAGCAGCACGGACACACACGAACGGGAACGCCTCAAGGCCATGCTGCCCACCTATCGACCCGCACCGGACTACGAGACGGCCGTACAGCTCAAGTATCGCACGCCCTCCGCCGATCTGCACAATGTGGCCCTGGCGCTGGCGACGCCCGGCAATGCGGCCGCCTACTATGCGGGCTCCCAGCCCGATGTCCACAATCCGGCCGTCTATGGCGAGAGCCTGATGTTTGGCCATCATTTGACGGCGGCGCACCGATATCCGGATGTGGCGCAGCCGGCGGCTGCATTGCACGCACATCATCATCATCTCAATTTCTATCAGACACAGCAACAGCAGCAGCAGCAGCCGGCTGCCTATTTGGAGCTGTCGCAGCGCATGCACATGATGCGGCACAAGGCGCCGCCGCCGTATCCGGTGAATCGGCTGAGCTCCTCGTCTACGCCGGATTTGGCTGTGGCCACGCCGCGTTCGCTGCAGGGTTATCGCAATTATGTGTCCGGCTCATCGCCCGATCTGGTGTCCAATCGCAATCTGCTTAACGGCGGCCAGTTTGTGGCCTTGGCCGGCGCTGCAGGCGGTGTCCATGGCGCCGGCGGTAATGTGCCCACATCCTCGGGCGCCACAATGCTGCATCAGTATCCGTACATTGGCCACATGGGCCACTCGCAACCGTATCTGCCGCCACATGGCACCTTCGAGAACCTCAACATGATCGAGGAGCAGCCGTCCATTATGTCCCAGCTGCGTCAGTCGGCGATGAGTCAGGCCGCCGCCGCAGCAGCAGCCGTCCAGAGGTAATTCGAAACCATTTCCTCATTCAATTCAATTAATTTTCGGATATTCCTCCTGCAGCTCACCCACTCTGCCGCCCAGCGGTTATCGCAGCTCGGCACCACCGCCGGCGAGCAGTCCACAGCCGGCGGCTACGACGCCGACGCCTTTGCAGCGCAGCGCCATGAACGGCTCCATTGAGCCCATCTATGAGAATGTGCCGCTGCCGCAACGTGCCAGCGGTGGCAGCGGCGGCGGCGGCAATGCCAATGCGGATGCCATGCGGCAACGGGCCTCCTCCATACAATCTGCGCCGCCGGGCGTGGCGCCCGTGCCCGCTGCACGGCATGCCAACTCCAATAAGAAGAACAACAGCAACAACAATGTGGTTACGCTGACTGTCAATGCTCAGGCGGACGATGAGATTACCAGGAATATTAAGAAATACGGCGCCGATCGTGCGGCCAGCACGGAGCTGCAGTTCCTGGAGCCACAGGCACCGCAGCGTGCGGCACGAGCCGCCAGCGCAGCGCCCGCCATTGGTGCCACGGCGCCGCCGCGTCAGCATCGCTCGTCGGCCAGCCTGAACAAGTCCACGGTGGATGTGATATCGCCGGCGGGCGACTCGTTGTTGCATCAGCAATTCAGTGCCATGAATCTGTCAGCCAATACATCTGCGTCCACGTCTTCCATGTTCAACTCCACGCTGGACACCACCGGCTCCTCGTCGGCCAGCAAGGATGTGAAGCGTCGCCGGCGCTGGAACATTTTGTCGCGCAGCAAAACGCCCGATAAACAAAAGTCTGCCACGCTCGGCAGAGAGAAGGCCAGCACAGCCGCTCAACATGCCAAGCTGGCAACGAAAATGAAGCTGGCCCAGGACGATCTCAATCTGCCGCATCGTTGGTCGACGGGTGTTAGCAAGCCGCAGCCCATATCGGGGCAGTATTCAAAGGATAAATTGGTAAATGTATTGATAAGAATTCTTAAGATTGTAAAAATTAATATGATATTTGAATTGATCTTGCAGTGCCAGATATTGAACGATAAACTGCAGGATGCCCAGCTCTTTATGGAGTTCGAGCGCATACCGAAGAGACGTGAGCACGCGCAATACGACTGTGCGCTGCTGGAGGAGAACGAACTTAAGAATCATGATCCCAATTTTCTGCCATATGATGATAACCGCGTGCGTCTGACGCCATCAATGGACAATCGCCATGGCTATGTGAATGCTTCATATATATCGGTGTGTTTTTTCAATTTGTTTAATGAGATCTTAACCATGACCCAAGTTTTTTTTAATTTGTAGGCCACCGTCGGCACGAAGCAGCGATTTTATATTGTAGCCCAATCACCGCAGGAGTCGCAAACGATGCGCATCTTCTGGCAGTGCGTGTGGGAGGCGGATGTTTACCTGGTGGTGCAGCTGACGGAGGATATCAGCTACATACCGCTCAGCAGTCAGGAGGGCATGGAGTTTGGACATGTAAGTAGCCCAGCAAATGCAGCAGCTGGCAGGAACTGACCAAGTTGATTTTTGCTTGCAGTTCCAGGTGTATCAGGAATTCTCACAAACCACAGATCGCTGCACCACAAGCAAATTGCGTTTGTATCATGCACCATCGCGTCGCTATCGATCCGTGTGGCATCTGCAATACGCTGACTGGGCGGAGCAGAATTGTCCACGTGATGTCAATCACTTTCTCGACTTTCTTGAGGAACTCAATTCGGTTAGATTGGCATCCACGCACGAGGTGCCACGTGGACACAACACAAATCCGCCGGTGCTCATACACTGCCTGGAAGGTGGCGGACGTTCGGGTGTTACACTGACGGCTGATCTATTACTCTATACGCTGGATCACAATGAGGTGAGCTCCAAATATATTTGAGAAATAAATGGAAGAGAGTAATTTATGTTTCATCTCGTGAAGGACTTGGACATACCGCGCGTCATTGGACAGCTGCGACATCAGCGGGACAGCATTATACCATCGCTAGCGCAATATAAGTTTATATATAATCTGCTCATAACCTATCTGAAGCGCACGCGGTTAATCTAAACTAAATCACTTGCTCCAATAGTATTTCTCATTTAAGTTTAACCTTATGAATAACGAGAGAGAAAAGAAAACGAACAACTTTTGGGTAACCACAAAGACTTGGTTTCATATTTTTCATGTAATAATAAGTACCACGATTTTTCCAATATGGGGCAGCTATAAACCACCATACTATGATCATTTTGTCAAATTACTTTGTGATCCTAAATTTGTATGCTTAAGATTCAGAATTTGTTACCAAAATTTAAGCGCTCCACCCAATGCAAAACAAATTTTGTATTAATCATAGTGCTTAGGTTTAAAGCCAAATTATTTATACATTCTTTTTAATGAACCAATTGATATGCATAACGCAACGCAAAGCAATAAAAAATTATACAATTTCAATCAAAAATTCGGCGTTTTCTTTTTAGCTTTTAAATACTGTATGTATTTTTGTTGTTTTTCCAAAGAAATCTTTTTAATATATTATACATATATATGACATATATATAATACACATGCAATTTGAAGCTTAAATGAATTACATAAAGTTTTTAATTAAAATGATTTGTAAATATTTTTTATTTAGAAGCAAGTTAATATTACATTTTAATTTATTGCGCATTTTTTTTTTGTTTTGGGTTTCTTCAGGCTTTTGCTCTTTTCTAAAGCTGGAAATTATCAAATGATAAATTTAATAACGTGATTTGAAAAGAATAGAAAAAAATTAAATATTAAATAAAACTGAAAGGTTAACTAAGTAAAAATATCAGAAGCAATTCTCAACTTGATATCTTTAATCTATTAGATCCATTGGAATTAATGAAACTTAATTTTTATTTAGATCTTCCCGACTTTAGAAAAGAGCATTCAAATTCGCGTTTAAGCGCAGTAACATTTAATGAGATTTTTACTTTAATTTAAATTGAATTCGAGCGAATAAGCACAAATATTTTGTTTCTTTACATTTAATTTTCTTTTAAGCCATAAAAAGCAAAATATCTTAACTTAAACATAAAAGAGCACAAGTATACATTAAACATATAGAGCTTTGATTTGTTTTTTTTTTCTTTTTTGTTTTTTGTTTTGTTGAATTTCTAGAAGCGAAACTTAAATTGATGCTGCACAAAAATTAAGCTAGTTGGGCTGCACTTTGTTCAGGTTTGTATATATATATATATAGATATATAAATATATATGTAGAGATTTCTTGTATATAGTCGCATGTATATATATTCATATTATGTATATTTATGTATATAACAGGCAATCGCATATATATATACACACACAAAAATATTGGAGTCCTTAACGTGCGAGAAGAATATGTTTACAAAAAAATTATTCATATTATTATTACATGTATATTATGTTGATGTTCAAGTCTCAGGTTTTTGTTTACTTGTTCTTGTTTCTGGTTGGTTTCGATTTGCTTGTACTTTCATATTTCTTGTCTAGGTTTGTCTTTTCTTGTTCTTGGGTTGGGTTTTTCTTTTTTGTTTTTGTTTTTACATAAGTTGCATTTGTCTTTTATGTGTAGAGTAAATAATAGTAAATACAACGCTTGAAAAATATTCGAAAAAATCTCTCGGCTTACAAACTAAATATTTGGAATCGGAGCGAAGGTTTTATCATTACTTTGCATATGTATACGTATGTGTATGTATAGATAAAACTAACTTGTATATATGTATATATATATATAGAGCTAAGGTATACATAAATGGAATACAATAGATTGAGTCGGCCGCGTCTCTTTCTTTACATTATTATCATTATTATTATTGTTACATTTGTTATTATTACTGTTGTGCTGGGCAAATTTATCATTATTTCGTTTTTTTTTATGCCGACTGAAAGTCTTCAAAATAGTTTTTTGATTGCAAATGTTTTTGATTAGGTCTGCTGGTTTGGTCTGCCTGCAGACGTGTTTCTTTTGATGCATGATGAGAAGGCAACAACTTGTGGATGATTCCTTATTCCTTTTTTGTTTTTTGTTTTTTGAGTAAGTTTTTGTGGAAAATGTTTACAAAGAATTGTGCTAAATTAAAATTAATCGTAAGCCACTTAAAACATAAAGCATAACTAAACTTATCTAAGAATACGTGACAGTTGGGTATTCGAACGTTAACGGATAGAAATTATAAATGGAATACGCACATGTTTGTGTGTGCGTTTTTTTTGGGGGGCAACATCTCATCCATCAATGGGTGTGCCACAATTGTATATAGATGCGTGTGTATGTGTATATCATGTAATGTGTGAACTTGTGTTTCTTGCCGGTGACATGGAAACCACAACCATTAACAAATTTTGGCGTATATATATTTATATATGCTGCAAGATAGAGAGTACAATTAGTTATTATTTGCAATTGGGCTGAATTGTTATTGTACTCACAACTAATTAAATTAACATTTAGTAGTTAAAACAGCACAGTTTGATTCTTATTGATTCATGGGTGGCATGGGGCATATGGTACACTTGGTGCTATCCATAAAATTTGGCGGACCACCTGCAGAAGAACAATGTTATATGATGAATTAATTTAGTGAATTGTTTGATCAAGTTAATAAATACATATATCACATATTACGGATAAGTATTTTTATATTATTTATTTTATATATCCGATCAAATGTAGTTACTAAATAAGGCTAGGTTTATGTTTTAATCCTGCCTATCCATTTCTTACTATTTTAATAGCTCCCAAATTCTGATAAATTATCACAACTGCTTTGTAAGAAACTTGTTGGATATCAATAGTTTTTTATGGGCCAACAATTAAGTGAGTACATGAATGACTCTCGTATTTAACTAATATACTTATAATTATAATAATGTCGAAGTAGTCTCAGTAAAGAGAGGGGGCGATATATATATATATAGACGCATGGCACGTCCTTCACCCAGGCCTTCTATACATATATGCTATTGAATCGTATCCTAAATCTCATGCCCCAGTTGCTCTTGCGTTGCATTTGCCGCTGCTTTGGTGGTCAGCGTTTCCAGTCTCTGCTCAGCTCGGCTCGACTCGACTCGACTTACCATGCATGTGGTTCAGGTGTCTGCTTGTGGCATTGCTATGATGATGATTGTATAGGCTGCTGGTGTAGACCGGTGGCGGTGGTGGCGGCATGGCCAATTGTTGTTGTATTTGCTGCAATTGCTGGTGGCTGCGCATATGCAAATAGGGCGCTGGCGGTGCAGGAAGCTGTGGTGGCTGTATGGAAGCAGCTGTTGGTGGCGGTGGTGGTGCTAGTTGTTGTTGTATTTGTTGTTGCTGTAGTGTTGGTGGTGGTGGTGTGGGTGTGCTGGGTGGTGTGCTGGTGCTCTGGCAGGGACTATTCAAGTTCCGCGTGACGGCATTGTTTGAAATTTGCTGCAAGAGACGGCAATCGGCAGCCGTGTAAACGGGTGGCGACGGTTCATTATGTGCTATTTGCTGCTGCTGCTGTTGTTGTTGTTGTTGCTGTTGGTATGTCAAGTGGTGTTGTTGATGGTGCGGCTGCTGCTGCTGGGCGTAGGAGCCATGTCCGCTGTCACACGATGAAACTGAACCTGTTGGGTGTTTGTTTGTGGCGATGAGAGTAGAGTAAAAGTAGCTAAAAGTGTGCCACAGTCTGTGTGTGGTGTGTGTGGGTGTGTATTTGCGTGTGTGTGTGTATAAAGCAATGTGAGAGACCAACAACCAAATGCCGAAGCAGCGATAACCAACCACCAATATATATAAACAAAAAGTCGGCCAAATTGCAAGCAAGGAGCGGGGTATACTTAGGCGCAACTAACGATTTTTAGCTAGAGGCTAACTAAAATTAAGCTACAATTAAGCACTATTATTAACTATGAGCTAGAATGGAACCTAGGTTTTAGTAGGCAGCGCTAAGCGTTTAGTTTATGACGTGGGCGACTTTATATCAAAGAGCTTGACCCGTTTTACTTACCGGAAGTCACGGATTTGCGCAGCGGCAAGTCGCGAAATGTCGTCACACTGCTGCTCTCCAGCGATAGATCCACGGAGGGCAAAGGCGGCGGCGGGGCGGGCGTATCCGAATGGGAACGCTCGTGTATCGCACGTGTCGGCATTATGTTGCCTGAAAAACAAAATAGAAGCAAATTAATAGGTTGATTAATGATGCACGAACTGTCTCACAGCTGTGGAAAAGCGGGCACACGAGATAGATTTAATTACGCGAACTATTTAAAGTTGTTTTTGTTTTACAGTAAAACAAAACTTAATGAATTCCTATTATCTCTGAGCCTAACTTCATGCTAATGAGCGTGATTTTTGGTTTAAATACTGAGCGCCTATTTTATTATATTTTCTTCTTAAAACCACCAGACGATTGTTTTTCCCAAGAACTTTCAGTATATGCATTACGGATTTTCACAAACGATTTGCATCATTATCTGCCAGCACTTTCCCGGAACGCTAATCCAACAGGCCGTGGATTAAGTAATTGATATTTGTCTGATGCTTACCTCCAGATGCCAAGCGTCGATGGGCACACGGACTGGGACTGGGCGTACACTGTGCATTGGCCACGCCCGCTGAGACAGCAGCAGCTGCAACCACGCCTCCTCCACTGACGGCCGGCGTGCTGAAGCCATGCGCTGCATGCAAATGATGCAGCGGCGGGATGACGCCAGGCAGCGCAGAGCTGTGACGCGGCACGAATGGCTGATGCGGGCGTATCTTTGAGGATTCGGACAGGGAGAGCATTTTTTTGACCGCCTGCGGCGAGGCAGTACCAAATTTGGGTCCATTATTGTGCAGCTGCTGGCGCTGACGCTGATGATCGCTGGTGGAGCTCGTCGAGCTGGTTGTGGAGAGCGTCGGTGAACTGGGATGTCGCTTGCGCAGCGACAGCGATGAGTTTGGCGCCGAACTGGAGCTGGTGTGCGAATAAATGCTGAGCTGATCGCCGCCGGCATTGATGCTGCCGGTGCCAGTGCCGCCGCCGCCGCCGGTGCCACCAATACTGCCGCTGCCTGCGCTGCGATGCGAGCTGTTACCATGCGAAATGCTGCCCGAATAGGTGGAGCCATGCGGTGGCTCACATTCGAGCGAGAGCCTGTGCAGCAGATCCTCATCACTTAGTATTTTGAGACTGTTCAAGTAGGCCTTGACGCGGCGCACCATTTGCGCCTCCTCGAACATTTTTTTGGGATTCGGAGCCGCCGTCGATTTCTTGCGCCGCTTGATCGTAGCCTGTCCAGCGTTGGCAGCAATTACCGTGCCGGCAGCTGCATTGCTCTGCGAGGCGGACATCTGATTGAGCGAGAAGAGCGCATTCGAGGGCGTTTGACCCTTCAGCTCCAATATGGCCAGCAAATCATATGGTGAGCTGCACATGTGCGTCAGCAGACGCACCTCCTTGGACAGCATG